AGCCAACTCAGAAGGTGGACCAGACACACTGGCCACTCTCAAAATAATTGTGTTAAATGGGACCTCTGGTGTAGACATATAGAGAGCTATATGGGAGTCAGGGGCATTTTTCTGGACTTGAGGCAGGTCACAGAAAATGTATGTCTGAAAAAGCATGACTTTGATGATCAGGGTGCTATGGTTATCATGCCTTTAACTCCTTGTATAGATCCCACGGAGCTAGGGAAGTCCAGGGAGGAAGCACGAGACAGTTACCTTTCATGGTGTTTAATAAAATGCCAGGTTTAGACAGCAATGCCATGAGAATAATGAAAAACTGAGATCTCTGGGCCTTCGAGAAAGAAGAGGGAAGTAAATTGGATGGCAGAGCAAGAGAAGTTTTGACCACAGCCAGAAAGAAAGATGAGGGGTGAGGCAAAGTCTGTCTCAGTCTTAACTCAGTATACCCCGAAGAGTGAAACTTGTGTAAGATGCGCTGAGCTGATGGACCCGGGTCAGAGGGCTCAAAGTGGACCACGTGGACCAGAACTCTAAGGTGAGAGGATCTAGTATCGTGAGAAGGGGAATTAAGATCACCCGCCCCCTGGAAACCGCCCTCTGAAAATGGCTAGATTGTTCCCATCAAGCTTCATCTCTAATCCCACAGCTAGTACCTCTACCTGGTGGGGGAGGCAGAACTACCAGGTGATACCGGAGATTGGAGAAGGATTTTCCTATGGGGCTCTCTCCTTAACAGAACTAGACTCAGGGTCTGATTGCAATGGACACATTGAATAAACTCTTAACTTATTGTACTGAGTTTCTTGATAGCAAGGGTCTTAGGAATGGAAAACAGATGCTAATCCCTCTAACTGCGAAAGGGCTGGTCACTTTGATGACAGCAGTAAAACATAATGCTGGAAACCTGTGCAAACAGAGCAAGGCCATTCTGCATGTACCTACAGTTGGTATTTGTTCTTCCCTTCGATGTGGTTTTTGTCATGTCAAACACAACTGAGTGAGTTACTCCCCCTCAGCCCCAACAGTGGAGTGCGTCCTGGCCTAGAATAGGCCTCTTTCTGAGCCAGTGTCTGGGCCGCCGGGCAGTGGAAGCACAAATACAAGCCTCGGGCACATGAGGACACACAGGCCCCAGAGCCTGTCAGGGGCTCTGTCCTGTCCCGAATGAACAGATGTTTATCCCACAACATTTTTCTTCTTGGGGTTTGTCCAATGCACTTAAAAAAACTCGTTTCTACTAATTATTCCCTTTTGCTGCATTTGCTTGTTTTGTTTTGCTCCTTCCTTTTTTTCCATACATTAAGCACTGTTCGTGCAAGGAAATCCTGCCCAGCTGCTTTCTGGAACAGATTCTTCCATAGCTTACCCAGGAACCCTTTGTTCTTGGAGCAGAGCGGAGCTCAGATTGCCTTGTCACGTGTATCTTGGCTTTTCTTCCCTGCAGTTTATAGACTTTTTAAAATCCATTTTCTTTTTATCCCAAAGATGGTCAGCCTCCACAACTTTTCCAAAAGTAAATGACTGCAGACCCCTTCACTTTTGGGGGTTTTCTCCTGTGGTTTAGTTAGTATTTTATTCAGCGGGCACTTATTAAGCACATACTAAGTTTGGTGAATACCATACCCTGTGCCCTGCATTAAAAAGAGAAATTAAACCCTTTTCTCATCCATTAGTTTGTTTATACTTTCTTTTTTAAAAAAAATATATTTTATTGATTTTGTACAGAGAGGAAGGGAGAGAGATAGAGAGTTAGAAACATCCATGAGAGAGAATCATCGATCAGCTGCCTCTTGCACACCCCTTACTGGGAATGTGCCCGCAACCAAGGTACATGCCCTTGACCAGAATTGAACCCGGGACCTTTCAGTCCCCAAGCCGACGCTCTATCCATTGAGCCAAACCGGTTTTGGCAGTTGGTTTATACTTTCATTTGTTATTCATTTTCTTCATTCAAGAAATATACTTTTTAGCTTCTACTGTGTACCAGGTCTGTGCCAGGTGCAGAGGAATCAGTAATGAGCAAAACCAGACATGGTCTTTGCCTTCAAGGAACTCCCAGTATAGTTGGGGGAAGACATGTAACAATTCATTGCAGTTCAGGGTGATGCTTGCTATAATAGTAGGGCATTCAAGGTTATTTGAGGAGTGGGAAGAGTATAACTGGCTCTGCCTCAAGCATCAAAATCACTTAATAGAGCACCTGTCCTGAAGGTATTCTAGACAGAGAACAGTGTATCCAGAGACAAGGAAGGGGGTGTGTGTAGAAAATGACCATTGGTTCAGTGGGGTCAGAATCTCGGTGCAAAAACGGGAGATTGAGGAAATGAACCTGGAAAAGTAAGATGGCAGCCGGTAAAGGTGATTCTGCATTCCACATTTAAAAATCTCGAGTGTGTCTTACCTAAAACACATTTGGGCGGTGAAGACTCTAGAACTGTGAGGAAATAAAGTTCTGTTGTTTTAGTCAGTAACCAGAAAAAGAGTTTCAAAGGGAATGTTTAAGTGGGTTAACAAAGGAGAACATTTTCAAGTATCTTTAAGGACTTCAGGAATACATTTATTTATAAGCAACCAATACTTAATGACAGGTCATTTTAATCTGTGTTAAAGCAATTTGCTAAGTCCCTTTGAGAGCTGACACTTTTATTGCCTGAGATTCAGTTACTCTATATATTCCAAAGTAGTTAACCTATGAAGTGGAAATAATAATAATGTTCAGATACTAAGTATTTTTCCTGAACTGGCTTACTTAATCTGCATTTCTACCCATGAGGTGGGTGCCATTAATATCTTCTTCATTACTGATGATGAAACAGAGGTTTAGAAAAGTTAATAATTTTCCCAAGACCACACAACTAGTAAATGTCAGAGCCAAATTGTTCTATTTATCTGAATAAATGATGGTTTTCAATAATATTTGGAAAGACTTTCTTGGACCCCATCCAAGGGTGTTTTTTTGTTTTTGTTTTTTTTTGTGTTTTTTTTTTTTTTACAGAAGCCCTCATGGAACCAAAAGTAATGAACCCACTTTGACCTAAAAGGTGTTTCTGTGGACTAGACTCAGAAGATACCTTGAAAGAAGGCTCAGCCCAGCACTGAGCCATCTATACTACTAAAAGCCTCGGTGGCCTTTGCTCCCTCACATCATCACAAGGTGGCTACCACAAGATGGCCAGCAGGGGAGGGCAATTGGGGGCAAGATCAGGCCAGCAGGGGTGGGCAGTTAGGGGTGAGATCAGGCCGGCAGGGGAGGGCATTTGTGGGTGATCAGGCTGGCAGAGGAGTAGTTAGGGGTGATCAGGCTGGCAGGCAGAAGTGGTTAGGGGCAACCTGGAAGGCAGGCTAGTGGTAAGGAGCCAGCAGTCTTGGGTTGTAAGAGGGATGTCCAAATGCTGATTTAGGTCCAATCCATGCAGGATCAGGTATAAATCGGCAGTTGGATATCCCCCTTAGATGTCCCAGATTGGAGAGGGTGCAGGCTGGCTGAGGGACACGCTTTCAGTGCACAAATTTCATGCACTGGTCCTATAGTTTTATCATAAAGGGCCAGGGTTACCTGTGTAGGGGGGATAACATATATCCTTTCTATCTTTGGCTGGTATAAAAGTTGTATTCTTTATACCAAATTAAATAATTTCGCCAGAATCTGATATTTCTTTGGGCGGCCATTCCTCCTATAATCAGTACATTTGGTACTTTTATAAGCCACAGGCTGCTACTCCTGGGACTGTATGTGGCTTGGTGTGGTATCGTGGCAGTTTACCAATCTGCTTTGTATGGGCAATGGTCACGCTTAGTGGCTGTGAATATTTTCCCTTTATTTATTCCAAATTCTCCCTTTTGAGGTTTTGAAAGTTAGGATCATGCAAAAATGAAATGGGTTATGGTCCAAGGTCATTATTACCTATTTCATTCAATGCACTGTTGAAAGTTACCATATTTATGACAAGAAGCTTAGTTTTGAACAATTTTCTAGTCTCTGAAACTTGTGTCTTAAATGGATTAGCATCCTCACTTCCTTTTTCTTTGTGTCCTGTCCAGGCCCAGATCTGTAACTTCCCCTGTGGTCCAGGATAGTTGCTTTCCCTTTTGCTCCCCAAATCAATAAATTCAACCAAACTTTCAGAAATACAGCAACACTGTAGGTATGAGTTCAGTCTTATTGCTCAGTCATTTATTGGTTTGACACTAATGGCCTCTTTTATACTTATACATGGTGTGGTGGGCTTCTGAGAAAATGGACAAAAAATTTAGCTGGGCTCCAATATGTGGGCTGCTTATCTTACTACTCAAATTGAAGACCTGGCTAATTGTATTTAAAACTTTGCCTGCCAGTAAGGATTTTGGGTCAGTTTTTAAGAGCCCTAAAGCCATATATTGGAATTTTATTTCAAGCTGTGGTAACAAAGTAAGCCTGAAACATGTTACTTTACTTATTGTTAGAGGTAGGTGTCTTTGGTTAAGAGCGGGAGAACCACTTACATTTTAAAAGACATTTTTATTTTACTGTAAGTAAGCCCAGTATGGATAACATTATTGCTTATCACCCATTCTGGAAGATAACTTGATGATATTTGTTAAACATTTTTTTTTTAAGGTAAATGCCTATTTTTTCAGGATTTCAAAATATTGATATAATTCTAACCTGGATGAGGCCTTTGTAGTTTACAAGCATTTATTTACCTATAAATATATTATCCATGACCTCTTCAAAGAAACAATCAAAATATCCAGTAATAAGGGGTTATATTAGTATATTATGACATATCAGTATAACAGAGTCCCATTGGCCATTTAAAAAAATAAGTAATGTCATGGAAATATATGTATAATACAAGGCATTCCAAAAGTCTTAGTTCAGTGTTAAGCTTTAATAACTTCAGAAGTATAAATGATTTAAATTTATCTTATTTCACTATGAATTTTGGGTAATTAATTTTTTTCAGTTAACATTTATCAGAGGGACTGGAACAAAAAATTTGAAATTAAAAATGTATCTATGAAATATTCCAAGTAATGTATAGTTTATAATCTTAAGCAGAAAAGTTATAAAACAGAAGATAAGAAGATAAGTAAGGGTGATGATTTATTAAAGTAGACTTTTTAAACAATATGTGTGCAGTTTGACTCCAGTTATATAAAATAAATATACTCCAATGCATTGAAAATAAAAAAGGAAGACTATACATCAGAATTAATAGTGGTATTCTCTGGTGTGGTGGGATAATGAATTGTTTTAATTTTCTTCTGTGCTTTTCTCTATTTTTCAAGTGTTCTACAATGAACATGCACTGCTTTCTATTCAGAAAAATGTTATTTGAATACTTTAAACAATACAGCCAATATTTGACTTCTCTTATACCCAAAGTATCACAAGTAGTGTGTTTAAAAAGCTAGGGATATTAACTCCACCCACCAATTGTCATTAAAGTAATTAAATTAGATTTTAATAATGAAAATATGGAACAATTAAAATACAAGAAATATTCCTTCCTAAAATAGCTAAAATAGCTTCATCTATACAGTTGATTGATATTGTCACAGTTTTAAGTTATTTTTAGATATTTTGAAATATAACAGAATCATGTAACTGTCAGAGGTTAGAGGACTTTTTATTATTGTCTTGTATTTTATGTATCCAAGACATTAAATCCTCTATTCTAGTAAAAGGGTAATATGCTAATTAGACTGAGAGACCTTCCGAGAGACCTTCCAGATGTTCTTCTGGACAAAGCCATGGTTGCAGGGCTGGGGCAGAGGCAGTGAGGGGTGAGCAGGCTAGGAGGGGAGGGCAGTTAGGCATGATCAGGCTGGCAAGGAGAGGGGCAGTTGGGGGCAAACAGGCCATCAGGCTGGCAAGGAAAGTGGCAGTTGGGGGCAAACAGGCCATCAAGGGGGTCAGTTGGGGGCAAGCAGGCTGGTGGGGGAGCAGTCAGGGGTGAGCAGGCCAGTGGGGGGCAAACAGGCCGGCAGGCAGGTGAGTGGCTAGGAGCCAGTGGTGCTGAATTGCTAGAGGGATCAGGCCTAAACTGGCAGACATCCTCCAAGGGAGTCCCAGATTGGAGATGGTGCAGGCTGGGCTGAGGGACACACCCCTCCTGCACAAATGTTGTGCACCAGGCCACTAGTATATAATAAAAGGCTAATATGCAAATTGTCCCCTTGACCAGGAGTGCAACTGGGAGTTCGACCATGGGGCGGGGCCAGCTGGCCAACTGCCCTTGGCCCCTTTCCCTATACAGCCCCACCTATAATTGGGGCCCCTCTATCCCAATTGGGGGCAGGGCCAGCCCATCAACTGCCCTTGGCCCTCTCCCCCCATCTGACCAAGACTGATCAGCCCCAATAGAGGCGGGCCAGCCAGACCCCACTTGTGCATGAATTCGTGCACCAGGCCTCAGTAGATTCATAAGCATAAAGAAAAAGAATATAACTTATCAATAAATTCATTTCTCCCTCAAATTTAAAAACTTTTATTTATTAAAAAAATATATATATATATATTTATTGTTGACAGTATTACATATGTCCCCTATTTTCCCTCTTTCATCCCCCTCTGCTCAGCCCCTACCTCCCAGGCCTTCACCACACTATTGTCTATGTCCATGGGCTGTGCATATAAGTTTTTCGATTTATCTCTTCTCCTCATTCCCCTCCTCCCCTGAGATATGTCAGTCTGCTCCATGCCTCCATGCCTAGGGACTTATTTTGTTGCAACAGTCAATACATTTTGTTCATTAGACTCCACAAATAAGTGAGATCACCTGATATTTGTCTTTCTCTGATTGACTTATTTCACTTAGCATAATACTCTCCAGGTCCATCCATGCTATCTCAAAGGACAAGAGACCCTTCTTTTGTACAGCTGCATAGATTCCATTGTGTAAATGTACCACAGCTTTTTTATCCGTTCATCTACTGATGGCCACGTGGGCTGTTTCTAGATCATTGCTATTGTAAATAACACTGCCGTGAACACAGGGGTGCATAGATTCTTTCTGTTTGGTATTTCAGGGTTTTTCCCAGAAGTGGGATCACTGGTTCAAACCGCAGTTAATTTTTTGAGGAACCTTTATACTGTTTTCCATAGTGGCTGCATCAGTCTGCATTCTACCAGCAGAGTACTAGCATTCCGTTTTCTCCACATCCTTGCCAGCACTTGTTGTTTGTTGATTTATTGGTGATAACCATTCTGACAGATATGACGTGATATCTCATTGTGGTTTTAATTTGCATTTCTCTGATGATTAGTGACTGTGAGCATTTTTCCATCTCACATTTTAAAACATTATTGAAGAAAAATTAAACAGTATATCCATAAAAAGATATAAAAATTTAAAGTGAAGAAAATGATATAAAAGAATATACAATGCGAAGAACATTTCCTACAACCCCAGAATCCCTAGACTTCCAGTTCCTGTCCCCAAAGATAGCTAGTTACAAGTGTGTGTGTCTTTCACAAATGTGCAAGTGTATACAAATGTATCCTTTCTGTCACTTTTATGGCATCATACCATATAGCGTATGCTGCAGACTTCTTTTTTTCTTACCTTAAAAGTGTATTGTGGAGATTGTTCCATATTATAAGCCAGATAGGTCCAATGAATGATTGTAAGGTAATTTATTTAACCAGATCCTCATTGAATGACATATAAGGGTTCTTTTCAGTCTTTTGCTACTATAACTAACAATGACTATCTTTGTACATATGCTGAGGAGGATTGTTATAGCAGTCGCATCTGTTAAACGACTAGAGATGCTGGTAGGATTCTCATATTTCTGTAGTACTTGACCGTTTCAAAGCTTTTCCCATATATTACCTTATTTGCCTCATTTGATTTGCCTTCAGAAATGGTTAGTTCTTTACTGCTGGAGGTGGTTGGTCATCCAGCGCATTTACAAGGTTGGTAGGGGGAGAGAATCATTCATTTGATGGTTGGGGGTGCCTTCTGGCCAGGGAGGGGCGAGGTGAGGCTCTCCATTCATGCTTTGTGTCCAATAGGTCTTGGCATGAGAAAAACGTTTTTTTTTGTTTGTTTTTTTGTGTGTTTTTTTTAACAGTTAGTGTTGTTGTTTTTCTTACGAATAATAACTGAAGATGAGAAAGAAGTGTTCTAATTGTTTTCTATGTCTAGTGGTGCCCTATGCACATTTTTAATTGGGTGATTGTGGTTGAGAATTTCATTTACCCCCTTGCTCAGGGTGCCTCACAACTCCATGTGAGTCAACACCAGAGCTGGCTTTCCAGGGTATGAGTAGCACCTGGAATGTTTAGTGACTTTTAACAGATGTGTGTCAAAGCTCATAAATTAAGACTTTATTTTCTTCAAATTTTAAAATTAATTTTATTTTCTTCTCCAGTTAGCTTAGAAACAATGATTACTGATTTCTTTGTATGTATATTTGTGGAACAAAGGACTTTGTTAATGTGGTATATGCTTCTCAAAGTTTAGTTCAAGGATGTGATCAAAAGGGAACTGAGAAGTCAGAGGACTCAGGAAATGTGATCATGCTAAGGATTACCTACTGCTCTGTGGCTTATTTTGTTTTGCCTTGAGGTGTGTGTGTGTTGATATTGCCCAGCATACTCTCCTTAAGAGAATTGACCATTCCTTTTTCCTGGCACTTAGCATGGTCAGATGAGTGCATTTGTTCAGGGCTCTAGAGAATAGCTTTGATAATATATGTGGGTTTGTTCTCCCTATTTCTAGTTATTTGATATTGTGTTAATTTTTCTCATTAAAAAGACAAGAGGCTCTTTTAAGAGTTTGAAGGATCTCCTCCAAATGGTTACAAAGCAGGGAAAATGCAGCTGTGTTTTATACTCATAGTTTCAGTGGCTCCTTTGGACAAGAAGAATACTGGAAAGCGACTGTACCAGAAGTCCAGGGCCGTGCGACTCTGCCCTGACCCGTCTTTCCCCCCAGGACATCCTGGAACTGCTTTTTCTACCAAGTTATATTTCCCTACAAAGGAAAAGAAAACCTTGTCTCTGCAAGATGTGGCTGCTCTCAGAGCAGTGTGTGTGTGTGTGTGTGTGTGTGTGTGTGTGTTTGTGTGTGTTTGTAGGGATGGATATACAAAATATCATAGAGCTCTGGCAAGTGTTGTTCAATGGTTAGAGCATTGGCCCTGCACCAAAAGGTGGTGCATTTGATTCCTGGTCAAGGGCACATAGCTGGGTTGCAGGTTCATTCCTGTTGGGGTGTGTGTGAAGGCAACCAATCAGTGTGCATCTCACATTGATGTTTCTCTCTTTCTCAAAAAAAAAAGAAAAAAAAAAAAAAAAAAAAAGAATAGAAAAAATATCCTTGAGTGAGAATTAACAAAATACCATAGAATGAGTGGCTTAACCAACAGAAATATCCAACTGTTATTTCTCACAGTTCTGGAGGCTGAGCCAACCAAGTTCAAGGTATCCAGCCTGGTCAGTTTCTGGTGAGGCTCTCTTTCAGGCTTGCAAGATGCCTCTCACATGTCAGAGAGAGCAATCTGTCCATGTCTCTTCCTATAAAGGCACTAACTCCATTGGACCAGGGCCTTGCCTTCATGACTTCATCTCACCCTAATTATCTCCCAAAGGTCCCTTCTCCAAATACCACCATTATATTGAGAATTAGAGCATCAACATGTGAATTTGAGGGGGATATAAACATTCAGTTCTTGCTTGGATTAGCTTAGAGGAGGTTGCCGTGGTATAGGTTACTGTTTACTTTTGCAAGATCCTTATTGAGCAAAAACTGACTCGTGATATATAAATAATTGACTCTATTTACTTTTCCCCCTTTGGTGCATACAACTCACCATGCAGTCCAAGGCTCTCTAGGTCTCATAAGACTTCAGATGAGGACCACATGTCTGCCAGATCCCCTAAATTCAAATGACCCCGGAGGGCTTAGGAAGGGATTTCTAAAGCTAGCTCTCTGGGATGTGCTAGTGTGCAGAGTACCAGGGTGTACTTGAAGTCATTAATAGCAACTGCAATGACCCAGCACAGCTCCACGGTCCAGCAGGGGGCAAGGCTTCTGGGTCATGCGAATGTGGCTTTAAGGTGTTCAGCCTGGCTTCATGCTAGGACCACAGTGTCCCTGATCTTCTCTTGCTGTTTTTAGACTTTTAGCTCAGTCAGGTGTAGTTTGTAGGTTGGTGTGACATTGTCATTTCTGTTTGACTTTTCAGTGCATTGTTTGGTGATGTACTGCCAAGAAATCAGTGAGAGCAGCTGAAAGCATTCAGTGGTACACGTTGGCACATGACCTTTGGGGATGAAAGCCTTAGATGTAATCCAGGAGAAAGAAAAGAAGACAAGATTGAGAAATAGGATTTATAAAGGTTAAGAGAATTAGGAGGCTGAAAAGAAAGAAAAAAATGAACCATAAACTCCTTTAGTATATAGGTATTCAAGTGAAAGACAAACAAATTATTGAGGGACACGATCCCTTGCTTTAAGAGTAGAATGTTTCCTTCCAGCCAGTTTGTCTGTGAAGCACTTTTTACTGAGGAGTTGTAATTTTCCCATTAATCTTCATAATAAAATCAGAAATGTTGTTTTCCATAAGTGTTCTAAACCTTGGGAAGGCCTATGCATCCATCCATCCATTCATTCATTCATTCATTCAACAAATGTTTATTGGGCACTTACTGTGTATCAGGCACTGTTTAGGCACTGAGGATACAGCAGTGAGAACAGATAAAAATTCCTGATCTCTTGGAGATTACACTCTAACTATGGGAGACAGACAACAAAATAAATAAGTAAAGTGGAGAAAAATAAAGCAGGGAAAAAGGACGAGGGTATGTGAATGTGGTGGGGTGCAAGATGAAATTGTTATTTTGGAGCAAGTGGTCATGGAAAAGCCTCATTGAGAAAGTGACATTTGAGCAGAACAAGAGTGAGCCATGCAACCTCTGGAGGTGGAGTGCTCCAGGAAGAAGAATCAGCAAGCACATGGCCTACGTGGGAACTCATTGAGCATGATCAAGGATCCCATTGTGGCGGGAGCAGAGTGGGAGGAGAGGATGGCAGTGGGGAAGATGAATGATATTAACAGGGTCACTCTGACAACTGACATGCCAGTAGATGAAAGGGACAAAGGTAGAAACCAGATAAGAGGCTCCTGCAAGAATCCAGGTGAGGGGTGATGGTCGCTTTGAGTAGAGTGATGGCAATAGAAGTGATGAGTGGCAGGTTTCTGATTATATTGAGGATTTGCTGATAGATAGATGTGGAGTGAGAGTGGATTTAGGGTAATTCCAGGGTTTTTGTTTGGCAGGTTTTTATTGGTTCAACTAGAAGAATGGAGTTGTCTTCTACTGAAAAGGAAAAACACACACACACACACACACAACAAAACAAAAAACTGGGTAATGAAGGGAGAGGGCGGGGATCAGGAATTAGGTTTTGAATTCAATAAACTTGAATTGTTTATTAGCTCTCCTACTGGATAGGTCCACTAGACCCCAGTGGTCGGCAAATTCTTTAGTCAACAGAGCCAAATATCAACAGTACAATGAATGAAATTTCTTTTGAGAGCCAAATTTTTTAAACTTAAACTTCTTCTAACTCCACTTCTTCAAAATAGACTTGCCCAGGCAGTGGTATTTTGTGGAAAACCCACACTCAACGGGCCAAAGAGCCACATGTGGCTCACGAGCCGCAGTTTGCCGACCACGGCGCTAGACAGTTGGATATGTGAATCTGGAGCTCAGGGGAGAGGTCTGGCCTGGAGATACATGTTTAGGAGTTGTTGGTGGATATGTGGCTTTGAAAGTCTTAAAACTAGATGAGCAAGCAAACAAGAGTCAGATGGAAAGGAGAAGACCCAATTTGAACCCCAGAGCTCCAACATAAATTAGTCCAGGGTAAAGATGGATGTCTAAGTCAGGGGTCAGCAGACTTTTTCTGTAAAGGGCCATATAGTAAATAGTTTATGTTTTGTGGGCCAAGTATTCATCTCTGCCAGTAGAATGGAACAGCAGCCATAGGCAGTACATAAACTAATAAACATGGCTGTGTCCAGGGAAACTTCACAAAAGCAGGCAGCAAGTTGGATTTGGCTCATGAGCATGATATGTTGACCCTGCTACATCCCTACACTTGTCTTCATGCCAAGACTTTCAGTCTTTCCTTTCTTCCTGAGACTGGAGGACTTTCTTCTGTTCCAGGAATCCCTTCTGATTAAAGAGGCAGGCTATCATGTTACACTTTATTAAATTGGTTTGGCCTGATCTAGAGAAGTCCTAATTTTAAGATTTACTTTGTTTGGTGCCTTATTATTTTTTAATTCACTTAGATAAGGAGAATTACATAAAAATTACTGGAGATGTGAAGATGAGTAATCAACAGAGGTCAGTTACAGAAAAAGAGGCAAATTTGTAGCAGGAGAGATTTAGATTGCATAAAAGTAATAACTTTTTGATGGTAAATATTATTAAATATTTTACCCAAGATAGTTCATGAGATAACTACTTAGAAAGATATTTGTTTCCTTTTGATTTTGTTTTTTTAAGGTTATTTCTACAATTTGGGGGTGACGTATGCATGTTATAATTTGGGGACAAAGGCATGAATATATGGCATTGAGTTCTATTGATAATAAGTATCTGTTTACTTAGTAGTATGCACTTAAGGTAATGCGTTATGTAATATGTGCATTTAGGGTTAGTTGAGGTAATATGCTTTTATGTCTTTTCATGGCACGATAGGTCATTTCTTTTTAGCACTGAATAATAGTCCATTGTCTGGATATACCAGTTTTTATCCATCTACCTAATGAAGGACATCTTGGCTGTTTCCAAGTTTTGCAATTACGAATAAAGCTGCTATAAACATGTGTGTGCAGGTTTTTATGTGGGCATAAATGTTCAACTCTCTTGGGTAAATACTAAGGAGCACAATTACTGGGATGTAAGGTAACAGTGTTCAGCTCTAGAAGAAAGCACCAAACTGAATTCCAAAGTGTCTGTACCATTTTGCATCGCAGCGAATGGGAGTTCTTACTTCTCCACATTTTCATTAGCATTTGGTACTGTCAGTTTTCTAGATTTGGGGCATTCTAATAGGTTTGTAGTGGTATCTCTTTCTCTGATGACATATGACGTGGAACGTCTTTCGTAAGCTTACTTGCTTTCTGTATATCTTCTTTGGTGAGATGTCTGTTAACGTCTTTGAATCATTTTTTAATTTGAGTTGTTTGTGTAATTATCTATTGGTTGGTTGGTGGTTTGGTGGGTGGGATTAGGAAAGTACTTCCAAAGAATTGTCACTGATATGTAGGAGGACCTTGTAGCCATCTAAAGAACTTGGAATTATAGTAACAGAAGTTGCGTAGTAAAAGTTTACCCAAGGCAAAGATCAGGATTTGTAGTTGGTGCAGTTTTGTCTCATGTCGTTTTCGAGAAACTAGGTCATTAAAATGGCTACAACATAGCTGAATTTACCACTACGGAGTGCTTACCTAAGCAATAAATGTGCATATAAGGACAGTATCTAGATAAACTGATGCTAATAATGAAATTCCCAAGGACTGTGAAGTAGATCTGGACATTTCCTTTTAGCCTCATTATTTTAGGGCCTCAAACTATTCAGTGATTCTGGGAACCTAAGAACCTCTTCTCAACTCTTATAGAAAGCTTTTGCAAACCTGCATAGGGGTGTGTAGCAGCTTCCTCTCCCCTCGATTCAGTTTTTTGTTTTACCCAAAGCCACAGGTTTTCTGGATGAAGCTAAGTGTGGGTGTCCCTAGATGCTGTCTCAGATTCTAAGAAGTTGCTCTCCCAGAATCTCTCTCTCTATGCTTTTCGGTGCTGTGAGATGGAATGCGTGGGATGGCTGGCAGTGTCGGAGCTAATGACCATGTTCAGAGTAACATGGCCTAGGAAACGGTGTGGTAGGACTAGAACTATGGAAGGGTCATGTCAGAAAGGATGCGGAGCGTCTGTATTGTTCAGGGTTCCCAGCCTTTACACAGAAGACAGTGTTGGGTTGGAAAGATCTGCTATGGAGTTACTGCAAAGACAGCAAATTCCTATGTAAACCAATGTTGTTTTCAGACTAAATAAATAATGCCCAACATCTGCATACTGTTACTTTAAACATTGTGTGCAGACTCTGCTGTGATTAAGAAATTGGAATTTTATTTCGAGTGGTAACTGTATCAAAGTATCTTTTTATCATTATGTTTTCTAACTGCACAGATTCTTAAAATACAATTGGTGTCATTTGATTAGTCTAAAAGAGGCTTTGATGTGTTAAAACGTCCCTCACTCCTGAGAAGATCAGGAAACACAAATCTAGTCCAACTCTCCCAACTTTATAGGCGAGGACTCTGAACTCCAGAGGAGGTATGTGACTGCCTTAGCCTGGGGAGATTGTCACTGATAAGGTAGGAACTAGGTCCTGGTTCTCTTGGATCCACTAGTGAGTGTTGTTTTTATTGTTGTTTTTTCGTTGTTTATGGTTCCCACTAATCTAAAACATCCCTGGGAATCAGAAAAATTCACAAAGTATTCTGCTTGCCTCAATATGAGTGAAGGTCATATAACAATGAGGCATGAATTAAGCAAGCAATAGCACATTATGACAAATGACAGTGCTTGGGTTTGCTTTAGAAAAGACTGAACATTTCTCCACCCAGCAGCCACCATATCGCGGAGCCAATCACTGCGACAGCATCCAAACAAGCCTGACAGGTGTTCGCTCCGTTATAATTCTTACTCAGTCTGCAGACGCACTGTCAGACCAGCCACACGGCTTTCATGTTACTCTTGGATAGAAGATGCTACACAAAAACATAGAGTTGTTTATGAGAGCTGAGGGCAGATGCCAACATCTGTTAGCCAAATGGTGGTGGTGTACAAAATGCATCTCCTGTTTATGTGTGTGTTTTTCTTTTTTAAGGAGGGTTTCTTTCTCTTGGGAAAGCCTATCAGAAGAACAGGATAGTTATTTGTTCACAAGGATGCACACATAGCCATACTTCCTGTTCTTATTCACGCAAAACTCAGCTCCTGGTCTGTTGCGCGGTGAGCTTTGCATTTGGGCACAGGAGTGAGTGTTCAGTTGGATCAGCAATGCCTTGTCTATTGTTAGCCTTCTTTTGCACATGAGATCAATCTCTGGCTTACTGTGAACCTTAACAAAGATCTGGGACCAGGACTTGTGAACATTACCTGGACTGCCTCTATTCAATTATGTTCCCCCCACACATCCCACACACACCGAGTAGTTTTAAAAATCCTGAAGCAATTAGTGTGTAGTGCCTTACATCTAGGAGATGTTTAATATGAAGTGAATCATTGGATGAAGTGCACACACTACTCTGTGAGGTGGCTTTATTTAAGTTACTTACTTTCTTAAAACTTTAGCTTGATAATTTTCTTTCTTGGTTCATAGTGAGATGGAAAACATTTATGCCTTCTATTGTCCTGGAACTTTTGTGCTACTCATGTTTATTGAGACTGAAAAGAATAAAGAAGGCTATTTAAATTATGGGAGACTGTAGTTCATTTAGATTAGAAATGGGCCTTTGAATAGGTTAAAAAGAACATATAGGCAGGTGTATAAGATGCTTGCCAGCTAAGAAGACCCACCCAGTTGAATGTTAATATAGCAAAACCTCGTTTCTTATCAGAGCATAATTATATTAGAACAAAACTCCCGAGATGAATTCATCTGCCTGCCGACAGAGCCGTACACCTGAGGCCCAGGTGGGTGTTTGTGTTTGGTCTGTTTCTAGGTGGAATGATCTCATGTTCTGCCCTCACTGCAGGATTGTGCAACCCTGATACACACCTGTGTTTTGATCTTCAAAATCTGTCGTGGTTACCTGTCAAGCAATTTTAAATAGCTCCGTGGATGATCCAGGACGCACGTCTGCCAGAAGCATTGTTGGCCATAATTTTGGAACTGACTGAGCTCCTGTAATGTTAAACTTTAGTTATGTTGAAATTATATTAGGTCTCGAGTTCCAGTCTTACACGCGAGGCTTTTGTTGAGTGCGTTAAAAAGAACGCACACCAGTCACCCCTCGGCAGGGGCAGTGCAGAGGTCTTCCCAGTTACTGTGAAGGAAGAGCAGGGCCAGCTTCTGAGAAAGGGAGAACATTACCTGATCACTGCAATTCTTTTATTTGCCATATTTATCTTAAGTGTTTGAAGTTCTTTTGTCTTTATAAGCATGTTTTATTTTCTTCATGAAAGTTATTCTAAAACCCATTTTTAAAGTGCCTGCTGCTAAGAAAGTTGGTCTAAAGTGGAACATCACCGATTTCTTTCCTTAAAAGTGGGCAAATCCCAAAAGGTAGGGTTTAATGTGGGAAATGGCAAAGAGGTGTGAGAGAGAGTTGAACAGGCTTCCTTTCTTGAAAGACAGTGGCTCATGAATGCAAATGTCATACATTTCCATCATGTCTGCAAACCCATGTTAATTCTTACCTTAGCCCACCACCCTATGATAAAATGTGGATGTGATAATGATAAGGTTTTAAAAAATTATTTATTTTGTCTTAACCTTTTTATGGGCAACTTCAAAAATATCTCAAAGTAGGATGGGATAATGAACCTCAGGTACCCATCACCCTACTTCTTTCATCTGTGGTCTTTCCCCACTAACTTCCAGCCCAGCTTCCCGCCGCCCACTGGATTATTTTCAAACAAATACAAAAGCATCAGTAAGAACTTTTGTCTTTTATAGGGACATTTTAGAGGACGTTCCCATTACTGTCACACACATAGAGAGCAAAGGGGATGAGAGGAGAAGTACATTCTAAGGGAGAGGGGAAAGGCAAGTCAAATAGAAACAGTAGTGAGGAAGAGTGGCAGCCGATTCCGTAATTTGGCACTGTTTATTGTAACATTGTGGATTAGCATTTTAATTTTCTTTAATCCTCACTTGAGGCTATGGTGTTTTTTTTTTTATTGATTTGAGAGAGAGAGAGAGAGAGAGAGAGGAAGGAAGAGGGAGAAACATCAATCAGTTGCCTCTCATATGGTCCCAACCTAGAATCAAACCCAAAACCTGGGTATGGGCCCTGCCTGGGAATCAAACCTGCCACCCCTTTGTGTTCCGGTTGACGCTCCAACCAACTGAGCCATACTGGCCAGAGCAGGAAGTCAGCATTTTTAATAATAGCAAAATAGGTTTTGATTGTGAGTGTCACTTACTCTGAGGCATGTGAACCTTGATTGTTGACTGTTTTGTTAAGTGCACCTACCTGTGGAGATCTCTACAACTCAGAGTTTTGCCTTTTAAAGTGGCGGCAGCAAAACATTAACCTCCTGGAGCCCTGGATGGAGTGGCCACTAAACCAAGCCTCTTGAAGACAGGAGCGTGGCTGTTTGGGGAGCACTGCTGTGACTTCCACGTGCCTGGAAACGTGCGAGGTTACTACATCCTTCCATCTGTACAGCTCTCCCTCGAGGAAGTGGAGGAAGAATTAGAGAGCCCCTTTTTACAGACAGTTCCCCAGCACAGCGCTTTAGAGACAGGGCGGAACTATAGGAACAGTTCATGGGATTCTTGGTGCTTTAAGTCTTTTAGTGTAAATAGTTATTTTAGCTATTTACCTGCCTATATGAAATCTAAAAAAAATATTTCTTGATAATGACAGCTGGCTTTTCCCAACAGAATTGGAACACACTCATATCATATGATTATGATCATTCTTCTATAATCTGAACATTGGGATTTTTAAAAGATGCTTCTTTACTACATTTGAAATTTAAAAATAATGCTTCTCCCTACCCCGGCCCCAGTCCAGAGAGTAGATATGTATGAATTCTTTGAGATTGGACCTGAGGGTTGCTTGATATCAGAAATAAAGTGCAATCTAAAACCATATTGTTGGGTCCTTAGATAACAATGATTTTATAATGAGGTTTGGTGGATTTTGAACTAAAGTTTGTTAATTTACTGTGCCATAGTGACACTGTTTAGTTTTTCCATTCATACCTGTCTGTCACTGTTTCTATTTTCATTTTTAAGATAAAACTGGATGGGATGCCCCTAGTACTCTCTGTAATGAGTTTAGGTTAGGCAGCTATGTGTCAAATACAGTGCTGAATATGACTGCCACAGCCATTCACGTATACAGTCTCTGTTCCTTGTAGTTTATAATGTCGGTGAGATGGTTGACATGGAGAAACTCAGAAAAGTTGAACTTGCTAAGATGATAAATTATAAACATAGACTAGACCCGAAGTATATTATTTGCTCTTTTGATGTT